GGATGTATTGGCAGATGTGCCCGGAACAGCTCAGTCGGCCACGTCGAACGACTTGCGAAACTGTAATCCAGAACAAGTACGGCGATACTCGACCCGGACCCGTGCTCCAATCAGAAGATTAACTATAAACCCTCGGCGCAACACATATGAATCAACGATTGCTTACAATGCTCAGACTTTTAACGGGGGGAGGTGTAGTATCCCACAGCTCCGTTCACGCACGCACACGCGTGACTGCCACGCGTGTACACGATGCAGTCACAAAGGTCGAACCATGACCCATTGACCAATCATACTGTTTTCATATCTGTCATGTCATTGGTTGTATTGTTGATCGATAATCTTGGCTTGTACGATTTCGGTTAGCACGCATTATTCATTACAGTTTGAGTCAGACAGCAGTTGCCTTCTTACTCGCCTCGTCTGGGTTGGGGACAGCGTCATAACAAGTGGCTGACGGAGATTGGGATTCAAGGGGAAAAAAATTTTCATCGATAATGTCAGTTCCAGTTGAGTTTTTACAAGAAATTCTTCAGAGACAGCAGGATAATTTTGAGGCTTTATTGCAACGGTTCGCAGGAAATTCGATCTCAACCGCAGCATCGAGCCAATCTGTGGAAAATATTTTTCAGAATATCGCAGACTTCCGGTACAGTCCAGATGAAGGCATCACATTTGAGTCATGGTTTCGTCGGTGCCAAGATGTTCTCATGGTTGATGGCGCTAAATTGGATGACAATGCTCGAGTCCGGATATTATTACGCAAATTGGGGCCTGCAGAACATCAGAAATATTGTAACTTCATCCTTCCAAAACACCCTCGGGATTTGAGTCTGGCAGAAACAGTCAGTTATTTAACGAAGATATTTGGGGAACAATCTTCTGTTTTCAAAATCAGATACCGCTGCATGCAGCTGGCAAAAAGGGACACAGAGGATTTCATCACATATGCGGGTCGAGTTAACAGTGACTGTGAAAAATTCCAGTTAAAAGCAATGACAGATGACCAGTTCAAAACGTTGATTTTCATCTGTGGACTACAGGCACCTGGTGACAGTGAACTTCGGATGCGACTCCTGGCAAAACTTGAATCGTCACCTCATATGACCGTGCAACAAATGGCAGATGAGTGTCAAAATATGATTAACTTAAAAAGTGATACTCGGATGATAGAGCGTCCGAACGTATTCCAGACCGCTGATGTGAATGCAATTCCCTTAAAGCCTAATTCGAGATTTAGCAAGTCTATCTCACGTCAAAAGACTCAGCCTCCAAGCCCATGTTGGCATTGTGGATTATGGCACTTCGCTTTCACGTGCCAATATCGGTTGCATAAATGCCACATTTGTAATAAAATGGGGCACAAAGAAAATATTTGTCGCGCCAAGGTTCATAATTTTGCAAGAGTTCACAAACAGATCAGTTGTAGATGCCGTAGCGCATCCAATGTCGTATTCACCGCAACATCACCGTGCTATAGCGCACGAAGAAAATACGTGTCTGTCCTCATTAATGGTCTGTGTGTTAAACTTCAGCTGGACACCGGATCAGATGTTACAATAATTTCACGCACCACGTGGATCAATCTGGGTCAACCAGTGCTCCGTGAAACTCATCATGTTGCCCGTTCGGCTACGGGAGAACAATTGCATTTTTTGGGAGAACTATATTGTCAGTTTTCATTCCAGGATGTTCAATCTCACGGCGTTTGTTATGTTACAGATTCGTGCAATTTGAATTTATTGGGGATTGAATGGATTACTATTTTACGGTTGTGGGACAAACCTTTCAATCAAATTTGTGATAAACCTTGTGTCACTTTACCTTTAGAACCCAGACCTCTGTGCAACGTTGCTCCCGCTCACAATAACATGTGTGATATATCCAAATATCTGACCAAAAAGTATCCCGAAGTATTTTCGGACAATCTTGGGCTATGTACAAAAACGAAAGCAGTTTTATACTGTCGACAGGGGACAAAACCAA